GTGTCGTCTGACCACGGTCTTGGCATTGTAGGACCTGACGTTTCGCCAGCAGCTGTGACTGGCATCCTCAGAGGTATAACACAGAAAGATGGAGTATTCTCTGTGTCAAGGTGAGAAGAAAAATGACAGGCAGGCAATTTATATCTACTCAGGAAGGTGGGGTAGGGCTGTCATTATCTTGTAGGAGTTCTCCAGGCTGTGAAACATGCTAATGGAGGAGCTTTCCTGAGGAGGTTCTTTTGTATATGGATTGGCTGTTTCCTGAGGAGGTTCTTTTGCATATGGATTGTTTCCTGAGGAGGTTTCCTGTTTCCTGAGGAGGTTCTTTTGCATGTGGATTGGCTGTTGAACTTCTAACCTTTTGCCAGATGTAGAGCCTTTTGTGTTTTTCAGGTTTCCCAACACCTTGGATTCCTTACACCGGGCTGTTGACTCGGCCTTCGGGTTCAAGGGCAAAGAGAAGTAAATAGCCTGCACGTCAAAGGCCCTATTCCAGAGGGGTTAGTCCCTCGCAGCCAAAATTGCAAAAAAGACTAATATTAATGGGATGCAAATGTGCCAGTTTTTAAGGTACCGCAAGTCCAAAGTGGAACCTTGCTTAGACACTGAGTCACAAATTCACCGGCAAGTGGAGCTACAGCAAAGCCAGAGAATGCAAAGACGGCTACAAAATCAAAATAGCCGGCCTTGCTCTGGCATCGACGGATCATATCCGTGTCACACATGCCCTTTGAAACAAAGCACAGAACGTCAATAGCCTCAGAAGATCCCGTTCTTTCTGCATGTACAACATACACACGCAACAAAGGAAAGGTTGAAGGAGCTGGGTCTGTTTAGACTGGAGAGGAGAGGACTGAGAGGTGATATGACAGCCATCTTCAAGTCCTTGAAGGGCTGTCCTAGAGAGGATGGCGTGGAGTTGTTTCCTGTTGCCCCAGAAGGTCAGACCAGGACCAACGGGTTGAGATTAAATCAGAAGTTTTCAGCTAGACATCAGTGGGTCAGGCTTCACTGGGAGGTGGTGGGCTCTCCTTCTTTGGAGGTTTTCAGATTAAATCAGAAGAGTTTTCGGCTAGACGTTAGGAAGAACTTCTCGACAGTTGGCGTGGTTCCTCAGTGGATCAGGCTTCATTGGGAGGTGGGGGGCTCTCCTTCTCTGGAGGTTTTCAAACAGAGGCTGAATGGCCATCTGACAGCAATGCTGATTCTGGGAACTTAGGCGGATCGTGAGAGGGAGGGCAGGAAGGGTTGCCTCAGTGCTTATTTCTCGTGGCCCTTTCTTACATGCCCAGGGAAATGCCGGCCACCACTTTGGGGTCAGAAAGCAATTTTTCTCCGGGCCAGTTTGGCCAGGGATCCTGGAGGGGGTTTTTTCGTCTTCTTGGCGTGGAACAGCAGTCACTGGGGGTGTGTGGGGGGAGAGGTATTTGTGAATTCCCTGCATTATGCAGGGGGATGCTCTGGACGTCCCTTCCAACTCAATGACTCTAGGAAACAAATGTGAAACTTGGTGCAAGCTGATACCCCTTGAACTCGGACAGGCTCATGAAGGCTCTGTCTCTGCCCTTTCTCTGCAGGCTCTGTCTCTGTTCTTTCCTATCCGAAGTATACTTCTCAAATAAAGAGAGAAATATTTCTCTGCTAAACTTGCGACGGGACTCTGTGTGGCTCTGTAGCTTTATTTAAGCACTCTGCTAACTAGTGGGAATTGGACTAACCACACCAGTTAACCACTGCCCCCCCCAATAGGTTATGGGCCCAGCACAAGTCACATTGGGGGAAATTCTCAGTACAGCCGAAACGCTGGCAGGAGGAGACAGAGCCTGCAGAGGTAGTCATTGGAAGGCCCCAAGGCTATCTCTTCTCTGTCTGGACGGCAGCCGGACAAGACTTCTCTCCTCTGGAAGGTCCAGGCTAGCTGGATCTCGTCAGCTCTTGGAAGCTAATCGGGGTCAGCCCTGGTTACTGTCAATATATAAGCTTCAGCATAGATGATCCTGATCTAACTGACAGTCATCAGGTGAATGTCATGTGATGCCATACCAGACTGATCCAGTTTGTACATGTCTGGGCAAGGACTAAGTCACCATGACTCAGCACAGTGCTGATTGGCTATGCCATGTATATATGTACAGAGTGCCTATGCATAGTCTCTTCTTCCCTGTAATGAGATGCTGGCGAAGCACTCTGTCTGTGAGCTGTATATACCTGTAAATAAACTACCTGTAAATAGTAACCACTGGACTGTGTTATGTGGTGTGCTATTGGGAGCAGCTGGTGAGTGGAACTCTGCTAAGGTGTGCTACACGTTCTAAAGTTACTGGTTCAACTGGGAAAGCACTGCGCGACAGTTACTACTTGGAGAAGAGGCCAGCCAGAAAGCCCAGGGTTGCTACGCAGAGGCAGGCAGCGGCAAAGCACCTCTGAACGTATCTTGCTCTGGAAACCCCATGAAGTACAACATCACGGGGCGGCCGTAAGTCAGCCACAACCTGACGGCACTTCCCACCACCCAGCGAAGGCAAACAGAGAAGCACTTAGAGCCGGGGGAATTCTCTCATTCTCTTTAATCGACATGGGGATGTGGCGCTGGCGATGAAATGCAGTATGGGATTGAGGGTCTCCAAGGGCATAAGCCGTTGGAAGTTCCAGGTGCGATGTCCCTCCCTAAGCCTCCAGACTTCCTGGCAAGAGAGACTAGACAGCTAGAGAGGCACACTTCTTCTGCCATTGTCCCCTTTGAAATGTAGGCTGTGTTCTCAGGGACAATTTCCTTCCTTCCGTTCTCTCGCAGATGAAGACGAACTCTTCTCCCTGCACACACCAAGGGGGACGACATACGGTCCTCCCTTGGCACCACGAGGCAGATGGGCCTCTCGCCATCTGCTTCCATCCTTTAGCTAGTATGTTAGTACTCCATCCTTTCCCTGCTCTTTCCTATCCGAAGTATACTTCTCAAACAAAGAGATAAATATTTCTCTGCTAAACTTGCGATGGGACTCTGTGTGGCTTTGTAGCTTTATTTAAGCACTCTGCTAACTAGTGGGAATTGGACTAACCACACCAGTTAACCACTGCCCCCCCCAATAGGTTATGGGCCCAGCACAAGCCACATTGGGAGAAATTCTCAGTACAGCCGAAACGCTGGCAGGAGGAGACAGAGCCTGCAGAGGTAGTCATTGGAAGGCTCCAAGGCTATCTCTTCTCTGTCTGGACGACAGCTGGACAAGAACCCCTCTGAAGAGTTCTCTTGGCCGTCTTCTTTGCGTTCACAAAGGGGAAAAAAGAACTAACCGGCAGCCATGCAGGCCACTTTAAAGGCCAGGCGGAACAAAGACCTTGCCTGGTCGTAGGAGAAGAATCCTGGGAAACCACATGGCGGACCAGTTTGGTGTAGTGGTTAGGAGCGGCAGACTCTAATCTGGAGAACCGGGTTTGATTCTCCACTCCTCCACATGCAGCCAGCTGGGTGACCTTGGGTCAGTCACAGCTCTCTCAGACCTGTTCTCTCAGAGCTCTCTCAGCCCCTGTTGCAGGGAGAGGAAGGGAAGGAGATGGTAAGCCGCTCTGAGACTCTGAGTGAAGGGTGGGGTATAAATAGCCAGTTTGGTGTAGTGGTTAGGAGCCAGCTGGGTGACCTTGGGTAAGTCACAACTTCTCTCAGAGCTGTTCTCTCAGAACCCCCTATCTCACAGGGTGTCTGTTGTGGGGAGAGGAAAGGAAGGAGATTGTAAGCCCCTCTGAGACTCTGAGTGAATGGTGGGGTATAAATCCAATCTCCTCCTCCTCCTTCTTCTGAGACAGTGTGGTGCAGGGGCTGGACAAAGTCTGAGGAGACCAGCATTCAAAATCCCCGCTGACCAGGAAGCACAGGGGACCCTGGGCCTGTCACTCCCAGCCTGACCTTGCCGATCACAAGATTACCGGGACGAAAAACAGAAGAGGGGTGAACCGTGCCCGCTGCACAGGGTGGGATAAAAACATGGCAGGCAGCTTTATATGGGTACTGACCCCCAGAGTTTAAGATGAAGGTTATTCCAGAGGAGCAAAAGCAAGAAACAAGGCAATGAAGTCTTTGTTCATCTCACTTTTCATTAAAGGACAGGGCTCTGCCATTCGGCCGATGACTGTGCCGTCAAGCCCTAGGGGAAACGCCTCTGAAAGCAACTGCAAGGAGTCCAGGCTCATCCTAAACAGAGTTGGTACGTTTTGAGCCGTAAAGCTCTTCTTCCGATAATATTCCCTTTCTTCCTCCGGC